ATGTAAAGGTACCTAGAGGACTCCCATCAAATTTAGTATTCTGAGTTTTTATAGATTAAAAAATGTGTCAACCATTTGACCTACAATTCTCATCAGTTTCTTTGTTCTTAAAATAACTGACATTCCTGCCTCATGAAGGGAAGACAATGTTGTCAAACAAAACCGATGATTTTTAAAGACATGCTTTGATTTGCAAAGACACAGCAAAGAGAGGTGGACTGGTAAATATGTGTCACTCATTACGTCTGGATCACTAACCCCAAGTTCTTGAGTACAGTTAAAAGATGGTGGAATAATATACACTGTAACTTTCTAGTTTTTAAAAGTACATTTAGAATAGAGGGAAAAAAATTAAATAATGGTATTTGCTGCCCCAAAAGGTGTTACAGAATGAAAATAGGCATTCATGGTGCTGATAAATTTTGAAAGGCAGCCACACAAATTGTGATTAAAGGAAACTTGGAAATTAGGGAGGAGTGTGTATCATAACTTCTGGGTCGCGTAGGGTATATCTTACCAACAGCACATTCCAGTGTATCACTGGGTGCTATATTGGATGGACTGGAATTTGTGACTCTCCTTTGTGGAATTTCCTACTAAAATCTGAGAACAGATTTAGCTTTTTAAAAAAATCTGAGGCAGAGCTTTTCTAATTATTTCTATAATTGAATTTAGTCTGGGTGATGTGGTATAATCGGGAAGAATGTAGGAAACAACTTTTTAAGCTCATAGGAAGCATTGTGTTCTAAGGTCACTTTGCGGGGAGATCTAGGTAGTGCTTCATTCTTTGCAGGCCACAGATTTATTTTTAGAGCAAGGGCATAGTGTTTTGCTACATCATAGCTAAATGTTGTTTTCAGAACGTAAGCTTTAAAATTGTTATCCTGGTCAGAGAGTGAAATCAGTAGTGCCTATTTTAGTCCTGCTTGGAAGAATATAACTCAATACAGTGACCTAGTCGCCCTGGTTAGAGGTTTTGCCGACTACCATCGCCACCTCAGCTCTGAAGGATGGTACGGTAACATTTTGTTATCTGAGGACTGTGGGCTTTTTAACATCAAACAAATTTTTATAGTCTTTTAAAGATTGAGTGCTGAAAAGAAAATTGCCTTTCCATTTCAGTTGTTATTAGGCATTCTTTTTATTTTTAACTTGAATTTTACAGGGATAAATTTAGATTATTAGAGAGTAAAGGTAGTTTCCTTAGCTCTTAACATGTTTTCTAAAACTTAAAACAGATAAATAGCTTTAAAAACTGTTGCGCTATGGCTTTTGTCTAGAGAATTTAGTCACACCTTAAGGGACTTCGCTTGGCTCTGTGCAAGAAATTGGTTTTGACAGAGTGGACGTATCTGTAAAACTTATAGGTGAATTCATAGTTTTTTTAGACTTTCCAGTTAGCTTTTCAACAAATCTCTTTCATGAGCTACTTTGATTCCAGAAGTGAGGGTGCAAGAAAATTGTTAGTTGCAAGTGGAAGAATGCTATTTGACAATGGAGATTAAGAGATGAAGACCTATTCCATCAATTAGTCTTCCTTCCTACTTTCTGTCTACCTTAGAATGGGACGGCTAGTTTAGGCTAGGGCTGTGGGAAAGACTTGTTGAAGATAAATTAGTATTCCCCAGTACTGCCACAGCACTGAAGTATAAAACCAGTACTGTTTCCCCAAGTGTAAAACCAGTACTTACCTGGCTATGCTGCAGCACAGGGGACATGCAATCTTGTTGATATGCTCTGAACTTTGAATTATGTGAGTTACAGTTTGGAATTTGAAGTTGGTGATGGACTGTTCATTAGATGTTATGACTACTAAGGGTGAGTGAACTCAAAGTTGAGTCTGGTTTTTCTCTTTGTAGTTTGGTTCTGTGAGTAAGAGTATTGATTAGTTGAGACAGATGTTTGCTAAGTGATACTGCCCTGCTGAGTAGTTTTTAGGCACATCTCTAAGTAGCTCAGACATGTCAGGAAGTTTGATGCAGCTTAGTTTTTATTAATCTTTGTGTTTTGTATATTTCCCTTCCTAATTAGGATTTAACCACCACCATGTCAAGCAAAAGGGCAAAGACCAAGACCACCAAGAAGCGCCCACAGCGCGCAACATCCAATGTGTTTGCCATGTTTGACCAGTCACAGATTCAGGAATTCAAAGAGGCCTTCAACATGATTGATCAGAACAGAGATGGTTTCATTGACAAGGAAGATTTGCATGATATGCTTGCCTCCCTGGGTAATGATCAACTTTAATATTATAAAGAGAATTTCTGTAATGCCTGTGAAGCCAGTCTAATGATGCTGTAGTTTACTAAGATTCAGAGTCTGGAACAGTGTTTCCCAAAGTGTGGCCCTTGGAACACCTGCAAGTTTCTGGACAGGCCTCAGGATTGGGCTGGGGGCCAGCTGTGTTTGTGTGTGTGTGTGTTGCAAACACTGATAACTGATTATGAGAGCAATGTTATTCCTCCTGTCATCCCAATAGAATAGCATACTATCTCTAGACTCTTAATACAGGCCTTATTCACCGAGAAGACTTTTTCCCAAATAGTTTTGCTATTATGAATACACAGTAAACTACATAAATGATAATCTTTCTTGTCAAAAAGGTTACTGTGATGATTACTTGATGCATTTTGTGATGTAAGTAAAATTATGACCCTCTTTTTTATTCAGGGAAAAATCCAACTGATGAGTATCTGGATGCCATGATGAATGAGGCTCCAGGGCCCATAAATTTCACCATGTTTCTCACGATGTTTGGTGAGAAGTTAAATGGCACAGATCCAGAAGATGTCATCAGAAATGCTTTTGCTTGCTTTGATGAAGAAGCAACTGGTAAGTCTGAGGTAACCTTTAATTACTAAGTGATTTAATTTTTAGTTGTGGTAACTAAAACATATAATAACTTGAAATATGATGACATAATACCCTCAGGTTTATTCTATACCTGTTTTTGGACAGGCTTTTCCTATGGCATGTTAATCACTCGTTTTACTGCCTTTGCCCTTAAATATTTAATTTACAATTTAATAGGTGTATTTGGAACTTCTCTAGGAAACTTACATTAGTCTTTTACTAGGATAACTCCATAATGGTTAGCCTGTCAGTAATTGTGTTGAATGAATAACTTTTACCAGGGCAATCTTGGATAAAGTATAAATTGCTGTAGACCTTGATACCAATACTGTCCCGTATTTGTTTATCAGGTGCCTCTCAGCTAAGAGATTGTTTAAATCTGGTGTCTAATCTTTTGCTTTAGAATCAGACTCCCTGGTTTTATATACCTATTCTGTGCGATAGCTATGTGATTTCGGGCAAGTTACTTAACTTTTTCTAAGCCTCCGTTTTCTTACCTATAAAATGGACACTAATATTACCTACCTCATAGTGTTGTTGTGATTATTAAATGAGGAAATGAGATAATTTATACAAAGTGCTTAGTATACTGCTGGCATAGACTTAACTTTCAAAAAACCTCAAAATTAACAATATAAATGCTTGATCCTTTGGCACAATTGCATATAAAGGAAACATAAGGGCGTAACTCACATGGCAAGTTTTTGAGAAGGAAGGCACACCCTTTATTTACGTATTACTTGGACTGTTTTAAATAGTCCAAGCATAGTCTGCTGTTGGAAGCATAGTTTCTGCACAATATGGCCCCATTAGGCCTCCTCAGGTATACCATCTTCCTGTATCATCTTCCTAACCTCCTTCCAAGCTCTTCTATGCCTTGTTGTCCTAACTTACCTCTACCATTGCTCCCTCTGTATCTTCCTTACCATATCACCTGCTCCCTCTTAAAACTGAAATTCTTGTTGTTGTTTTTTTATGTTTATTTTCGAAGGAAAGAGAGACAGCATATGAGTAGGGGAGGGGCAGAGAGAGAGACACACAAAACCCAAAGCAGGCTCCAGGCTCTGAGCTGTCAGCACAAAGCCCAAACTCACCAGCCGTGTGAGATCATCATGACCTGAGCCGTAGTCAGACGCCTAACCTACTAAGCCACCCAGGTGCCCTTTAAAACTGGAATTCTTAACAGTTATACCTGGAAGGGAAAGACAGAGGAAACTTACTTTTTTTCTCCTAAAGTCACTTTTGTATTGCTTGAGCTTTTTACTGTGAGCAGTTGCTACTTTTTTTAACGGAAGGGAATACAGCCATAAAAGAGTTAAAAATCCTATCCAAGGGCACCTGGGTTGCTCAGTCAGTTAAGCATCTGACTTCAGCTCAGGTCATGATCTCGCCATTCCTCAGTTCAAGCCCCGGGCTCTGTGCTGACAGCTTAGAGCCTGGAGCCAGCTTCAGATTCTGTCTCTCTCTAATTCTCTGTGCCTCCCCTGCTCATGCTCTGTCTCAGAATATCTTATCCATTCTTCAAACTTATCTCAATGGTCACATTCTTTATAGAGCCTTAGCTGTGTTTTTATATAATATTTTTTCCTGGTTCCAGGAAAACTTAAAGCCTATCCTTTCATTCCACATCTAAAGTATATTCTTGTCTCTCTCCTGGCCTTCTGTTTTAGTTGTGTACTTATTCCCAGTCGTCACAAAATCTCTCCCCACACCAAGAGCCATGGCTCTGTCTTCAACAGCATTATATTCCCATCTTTGTAACCCCTTCTAACACCTACCACAGCTCCTTGCACATCGTTGATGATAGGTTTATATGATAGTTGAATGACTTGGCTGGGGATGAGGATTTATTTCTACAAGCTGAGAGACTAACATTTAAAGAGCTTTTTTAAATGTAGAATTTAATTAGCAAAAACCCCGTAAGTCTAGAGTTGCTCTTGTGAACTGACCTTATAATTTAAACTCATAGGAAATGTATCATCAGTGTTTTAGCTTAATTTCACCAAAAAAATTCAGATTTTTCTTTTTACTTTATGAATTTCAGAATCTCTTGGTCATTTATCAATTTTGCTTTAGTATTAGTGGCTCACAATCATGATGTGAATTATTTGGAGAACCTTTTAAAAATATCAATGCCATGGGGTGCCCTGACTGGCTTAGTTGGGAAAGCATGCCATTCTTTATCTCAGGGTTGTGAATTTGGGCCCATGTTGGGTATAGAGATTACTTAAAAATAAAATCTTAAAAAAACAAAAAAACTGGACCTCAGGACTTCAGTATTCTTTCCACTGCAGCACTTTACTGATATTTATGATATGGTATTAATTTTAGTGTTATTTGCTTATAGAATAAGTGTGACCAGGGATGCCTGGCTGGCTCCTTTGGTAGAGCATGTGACTCTCGATCTCTTGAGGTCATGTATTCAAGCCCCACATTGGCTATAGAGCTTACTTAAAACAAAAACAAAAACCAAACTAAGTGTGACCATTCACGCTACTTTAAGGAACCATGAGGCTTAGATTCCTTAATCATACTTTACTGCTTTTGTTTAGGTGTAGGTTTAGGCCCTATTATGAAGACTTGGGCAGGGAAGATGATAGAGCAGAACAGGATGATAGACCTAGGCAGCTGGGCATTGTCTAGGCAACTGTCTGCTGAGGCTGGCTTAAGCATGTGGAGATACCATATTTCATATATTTGCAAGTTTATAGTTCTTAACATAAAGAACTATATGCTTGGTCAAGTGTAGATGTTCCTTGTAATCAATCCCCAGAGGAGTACGTATTCTGATCCCCAGTTCTTTATTCTTTAGGCACCATCCAGGAAGACTACCTGAGAGAGCTGCTGACAACAATGGGAGACCGGTTTACGGATGAAGAGGTGGACGAGCTGTACAGAGAAGCGCCTATCGACAAAAAGGGGAATTTCAATTACATCGAGTTCACGCGCATCCTTAAACATGGAGCAAAAGACAAAGATGATTGAAAGAACTTCAAATTCCAGCCAAACGTTCCTTGTTGCCACTTTGGGTATTTCTGAGACGTGCTCTTAGAGTCTGTTGCATGCCCTTAGCTTTGCAGCTTTTGCCTTTCTTGTATTTATTCTCAGCCATTTTGGGCACATGCATCTCTATATTCAGACTGGAAATGGGACTTTTTATGATTTTCAGATAGAAAATAGGGCAATTTAACTTACCAGCCCCTCCCCCTCAATAACTGCAGTCTACACAGATTCAGTATATTTTTTCAGAGAAAGTTATTCACTCAATTTTTTCTGAACCGTTATTAAACTTTATGATAAAAACTTGCTTGTTTAAAACTTCTTATTTACCAAAATCGGCTTTTGTTACTTGCTTCTTCCAAAGAAAAGTAGATGAGGCAAAGCCTACAAAAAGATATGGTTGTTAGACCTCTCCCTTACTCCATCCAGTTTCTCTAACAATCCTATCTCTAATATTTATTCCTCCCCCTCCCAAAGAAATCCAGTTTAAACTGCCTTAATTGGGTTTCTTGCATTTTGTCTTTCAGTTTTAAAAATAATTTTCTATAGATTTGCAGAGACATGCTAGCTTTGGTAGCTTTAAATCTTTAAGTTTTACATAAATGTCAACATCCCTCTTTATCTGTTCTAAGCTTTTGTGTATTGCATCACGTGATTTAAAATTAGACCAGGCCACTGAGCCTAATTTTAATTTGTCCTAATTTTTAAAACTATTTTAGCTCCAAAGGTTTTATGGAATGCTTCTTACCAAAAAGATTTTTTTGTATTGAATTTCAAAATGTTGGAAATACAATCCAGTATTTTTTATTGTATGTAGTTTCTCTTTAATACAACAGTCCCTATTGAAATACCATGTTTGTTTATGGAGAGATTCACCATGAGTCCATGTATGAATTTTGGACATTCCTGACCTCCCCACAGTCAAAACAGCTGAAGCTACATGCCTGGGAAAGTGAGATCATTATTTCAATCCTAAAAATAACTTCTGCTATCTGCAAAATGCAGGACTGTTTTCAGAGTTAATCAGAAAGTGGTTGTTTCACTTGCTTTGGCCTTCAAAAATCTAACTTTCAAATACTCATGAGTTTTAAAAAGACTTTGAAATGTTGGGGGGAAAAGTTGGTTAAAGAGTTGACAGCCTACAAAGATGAGTAATTGACAATTACTCTAATAACTTTATGTTTTATGCTACTATTAATAAGACATTACCTCACTCAATAAACAATTACTGAATGCCTTCAAGGCAGCAGACCTTTGCGTTCAACAGGATAGGTGAGTGAGATCCTTTAATCTGGTGCAGCCAGCTTTACAGAGAAGTAAAAAGTCTAGGAACAAGACTGCTTCTGTCCTCTTTGAGGTTAGAATCTCAGCACCTACTTTTTGCCCTTTATGTGTTTCTGAATTTCATTCAGTGAGTTAAGCAAAATACTTTTTCTAGGCTCATAGCCTTAATGCTAAAATACGGTTTGTTGAATTGAATTTCCATTTCAACCAAAAAAATGGTCACTTCTGCTTTTAATAAACGTCCAAATAACATTGTTTCCACTACGGAAACAAAGTGATCTCATCTACTAAAATAAGCTCTTAATAGTATCTGCATTTTCATTTCAAATAACTTCTCAAAGAATCAGCTTCCAGGGGCGCCTGGGTGGCTCAGTTGGTTGAGCGTCCGACTTCAGCTCAGGTCACGATCTCGCGGTCTGTGAGTTCGAGCCCTGCGTCGGGCTCTGGGCTGATGGCTCAGAGCCTGGAGCCTGCTTCTGATTCTGTGTCTCCCTCTCTCTCTGCCCCTCCCCCATTCATGCTCTGTCTCTCTCTGTCTCAAAAATAAATAAACGTTAAAAAAAATTTTTTTAAAGAAAAAAAAAACCAGCTTCCATTAGGAACAGTGAATGGTCTCCCTTGAATGAAATAAGTCTTCTAATAAAGTAATAACATTCTCCACATAGTAACTAGGGTTTGCTTAAGCAAAGATAATTGCCAATAAAAAGCTAAAACACCTCCAAAAGTGGATTTGACTGAAAAACCAGTCTCCATGATGAAAGTCCTACATTCCAAAAGTTCTCATGAAACCAACCTACTGCATCCTTATCTACCTGCTTATGATTATATTACCATTTGGACTTCAGGGCCCAAATTTAATATTTATCAAGGAGCCTATGACTCAAGAGCAGGAATTGATGAGTGCTACTGTGATAAAAAAGGGAGGAAAGCAAAGCTAGTAAAATCAAATTCTGAAAAGGAAAGGCAACCATTTCCTACAAAGTATGAAGAGAGAGGGGACAAGTGGTATAACACCTAGACTTACAAATATGCAGAAAAGTTAAGGATCAGATAGAAGATGATAAAAGGGCTTGGAGAAGAAGAGCCACAAAAACAGTATTGTGGAAACCAAGTGAATAGTTTCAAGAGTGAGGAGGTTAGTCAATAGTGTTAAGACACAGAAAAGTTAAAAATAGGAAAGTTTAAAGGAGGCCACTAGATCAAGTCATTGGTCACCTTTGCTAGATTTGTTAGGGTTCCGCATGCAGAATCCATAGTGCAGCATGAAACAGCAGACTGCCTAGGTTTAGGGGTCAGGCTAATCTACATTTTAATCCCATTTTTGCTACATTGTTTCATAACCTTAGGTCAATTAGATTCCCTCAACCTCTATTCATTTGTAAAATGGAAGTAATGCTACTGGTTCATAATATGAACATAATCTATTAATACATAATGCAGCACTTTTTGTGACTAAGAGTAGTATGGGGTTTAGAGTCACACTTTGTAGACTTGGGCAGGTCACTTGTGTCAGTTTCATCACCTATAAAAGGAATGATACCCTTAGAGCCTGTTGTGAAAATTAGAAACACTAAAGCTAAATGGTCTGGCACACAGTAGGTATTCAAAAGTTACTCTTGTTCTGTTTACCAGTGGGGGTCTGAAGCTTGGCAATGAAGAGAAGCTTGAAGGGAAGTTCAGGATCAAAGGGCTCATCTTTAGAGATTCAAGCCTGTTTGTAGACAGAGGAAAAAGACAAACTGGAAGAAATAATCAGTGAAACAAAATGAATTATGTCCAAGAGATAGGCAGGGCTAGAACCTAGATCACACATTGTAGGATTATCCTTAGAGAAATAAAAATGGATACTTCTACCTCTGTAAAGAGGAAAGGATAGGCGATAGGAGTTAATGGCAGTTGGAGATTAAGTAAAAGGCTGAGGTTAGGAGAAAGATCCATAGTTGTTTGATAGTAAATTAGTTCAAACTAGAATTTTATTATATTAAAAGGTGGTAATAAGGATTTACTAAGAATATACATTAAGTCTATCAGTTTCCTGGGACCAACTAGATGTTCAAGTAGTTTTTTTAGATTTCCTGAGTAGATCCAATAATTAGACTTGTTTGTGTCTTTCTAGGTCCTCCTTTAGTGTACAATTTCTCGATTTCCCTGAAACCTGGTTTTTTATTCTTGAAAGTATTGCTGGAACTAATCCCACATGGAAGAAATGCCCAGTTTCCCTAATGCTGCTTCTCTCATTTCTACCTGCTCTTGAACTTCCAAGTCCCTGTATGTTTTTTTTTTTTTAATGTTTGTTTATTTTTGAGAGAGACAGAGTGAGAATGGTGGAGGGGCAGAGAGAGAGGGAGACACCAAATCTGTAGCAGGTTCCAGGCTCTGAGCTGTCAGTACAGAGCCTGATGCAGGGCTAAAACCCACAAACTGAGAGATCATGACTTGAGCCGAAGTTAGACACTTAACTGACTGAGCCACCCAGCCACCCCCCCTTCTTTTTTTTTAAATTTTTTAAGTCCCTGTATCCTTTACACTAGATGTCTATCTCCCTACTCAAGTAGTGCCATAATGTCTTATTATCCACATACATTTTATAGTTGTAATGAACATACACCTTGTTTTTAGTTTAACATAACTTAAATTATTTTTCATGTTTTGGCATAGCCACCTTTATTTGTAACCATTCTTTTTAATGACCACAGTTATCTTTGAAAAGGATATGCCTTAATTAGCCATAACCCAAGAGCTAGATACCTAGATAATTGGCTTTTCATTAATAAATATTGTTTTTCTTTTGAATCTAAAGAACAATATACCCTAGAATTATTTTACGAACAGAGCTTTTCAGTACAACTTTCTGTGATGACAGAAATGGTCTCTGCTTTCCAATAAGGACATTAGCCACATACGGCTATTGAGCACTTGAAACATGTCTAATATAACTGAGGAACTGAGTTTTTAATTTCAATTTGAATAGCCACATGTGGTTGGTGACTATTGTATTGGAAAGCAGTTCTATAAACAAATATGGAGATCAAAGTCAAAGTGCAGTCAGAGTCCCTCAGCGATGATCTTAACTAAGCTGGCAAAGATGAGGGCTTATGGGATGGTAGTAGACCATACTTGAAGGGCTCTATGACAAAGACCTAAAGAAGCCAAACTCTTGATTTTGAGTGTTAAAAAATTATACTATTGGACCAAAGAGCAGATTGCAGCCAAGGGAAAGAGTCATTATTTTAGAATCAGGTGTGACATTTCGGAAATTGCTTTTCAAATTCTGAGAAAATGCATTCCCTAATTATCTCAACCTTGGGCAATGTTACTCAGATTAAGACCACAGCATCAGCAACCCCCGGCATCTAGTAAATTTGTATTTACTAGAAATGCAAATTATTGCCTCGCCTTTGACCTATTGAATCTGAGTATCTGGGGTTGGGGCTCAAGAATCTTTTACTAAGCCCTCCAGGTTTTGCTTACACACGCTGCTGTTTAAGAACTGCTATAGAGTGCTGAACACATGGTTCCTAATATCTAGGAATTTCTGATCAAAGATTTCTAGAATATAAAAGACTATTATCCCTCTCCCCAGCATCTGGCACACTTTCAGGCAGTAACAAGTGCTCAATAAAGGTTTGCTATTGGCTTATCCTCCATTACCCAGAAATAGTGGCATTCATCTATATTAGAATGAGGGAAGTGAAAGTTATAGGCACAAACTTGTGTAATGTAGCTTCGTGGTTTCCTGTTTTGACGAAGAGCATTTTATAAATGTGTGTGCGCGTAATTCTCTCATCTGTTGACCCAAGGAAAGCAAAAAACATTTTGAGCAAAACTTTCTTGTGGTTGTAAGGAGAATGAAACAGTTATAGGCTAGCCGTGGTCTGTAGGGCCATAAACCTTATAATTTGAAGGCTAAATGATAGAACTCTGGCTGGAGCTCCGTTGAAAAAGAAAGGGTTTTCCAGCAGGCAGGAGTCCGCCCCGCCGCCGCCCTCTTACCTTCCGCAGTATTACGCGGGACGCACCCTAATTAGTTATTTTACTTCAAGTTCATATGGAACTACGCGAGCTGTATTTTCATGTGCCAACTGTGGGAGCCCAGGGTGGGAGGCCTTCGGCACCCGGGACCCCCCAAATCCTGGGGAACCGCGCCCCGCCCCACCCCACCGGGTCAAATTCCAAACCCGGCCCGGCGCCCTGCAGCCCGGGAATGCGGAAGGGCCGCGGGAACCCGCCGCATAAGGCGGGGGAGGAGGGCGGGCCGCGGGGCTACAGCCGCACGCAGGAGGGGAGGCAGCAGCCGATGCAACAGGCCACAGAAGACAACTAAAGCCCAGGCTGTGTTCTTCGGCCGCAGCCTCGCTCCTCGGCCGACACAGCGGGCTTCGCTCGGTCCTGAGCGAGAACCCCTCTTGCATCCCCCCGTCCCGAGTTGGATCTCGCCGCGCCTTCCGGTGCGCTTTCCGGTCCACTTCTCGAGGCAGGAAGTGCCGGGCGCCGCCACTGTAGCACCGCAGCCCAGCGATCGTCGCCGTCGCTCGTCGTCTCGCGCAGGGCAGACCGGGCTCTGGTGTCTGGCGGCGGTGAGTGGCGCTCGCCCCGGCGCGCGACATCCCTCGGGCCTCCCCCCTCGCCCCCTCCCTTCCAGGCTCTTGCCCGCCGCCGGGACCCCGCCCCAATAGACCCGGACGCCGGGGACCGGGGGCTTCGGAACCTGTTGGGCTGGGCGAAGAGGGTTGATGAAGAGGCCCTGGCAGCGGCCGGGCCTGGGCCTGAACGTTGAGAGGCCGGGCAGCGCCAGGGCGGATGAAGCCGGGCTAGGGAGACGCCCTGCTGGAAGAGGTGGCTGGGTACCGGGCAGCGCGTAGACCGGCCCTGCGTCACCCGGGTGACTTCACACACCTGGTGCCTCCGACCTCCCCGCGGCCCCGCTGCCAGCACCTGCTCTGTGCCGCACACAGGGCTGGATGCTTTGGTGGGTGCAGGAGTCTAGTGGTGCGTGCTTCTTTGCATTAGGTGAAGTGTCCACGGAAACTGTTAAGAGAACTTGTACTGGAGTGCATGGTTGGTACAGGCTAAAATGGAACGATGCCCATAGGAGTTGTAACTCTCACTGTGTCTTGCATCTTGTAAAGATTCAGGTCATGCGTGTTGATGGAAGAAAAGGACAAATCACAAGTCAAGAAAGATTTCCTGAAGAAAAAAATCGTAACCTCCTTGAAGACCTTAAATTCAGCCCTAGGTGGTAGAACTGAAGTGTTTCTGGCAGGATCTGTGGTAGGAGGTAACAAGAGGAAAATCTCAAAAGGTGGGAATTGTGTTGGGTGAAAAGGAGACAGTGGGGAGACCAGCCTGAATGGAACAAGAACTATAATGAGTAATAGGTGGGTATAAGGGTAGATAGGTAGGTAAGTGAGACGTTTTTATGGATGTCTTGAAAACTTGGCCAGAAATAACAGATTATGTAAGAGGCATTAGGCAGTCATTTTGGATTCATTACTAGGGGAGTAATATGAAGAAAGAGGTGCTTAGAAAATTAGTTTGGCAGCCTTTGTTTAAGATGGATTTGAAATGGTCTTTTTGTAAGAGAAGAATCATAGCATTTTAGAATTCAAAAGAACCTTAAAGACTATCTTGTGAAATAGATGACTTGTCTTATAGATTATCTTTCATTTTATAATTGAGGACATTGAAACCCAGAGAAGCGAGATAATTTGCCCAAGGTCACTTGAAGGACTCACGTGTGCCTCTCATTTTCTTTGTAAGCATTAGGTGGACCCCACTGGGCCTCATAACTAAGTGCACAGCTTTTTGTTTGTTCAGGCACTGTTGAATGAAACAGCTTCTATATTGGATGGCTTGATGTTTGTTTATGCTTTAATGAGACTGAGTTTTGACAGGATAGACTGAAACTTCTGAAGGACAGATCCCCAGGTGAGGGTTGTGGGATTAGGAAAGATAAGAGGACTTAGAGCCCATAAATGGGGCTGATTGTCCCTCTCTTCTAGGATTCAAAGACGCCAAGTACTTAGGGATGGTTTTCATTGCCAGCAGCGTTGGGATCTTCCTTATTCTGCATCTTTGCTGTGTGGTGGCATTGCTTGTTACCCCCAGCTAGCTACCCATGTTTTCATGATAGAGAATTTGAGCTGTCTATATATAGGAGAAACGGGCTAGTGGTACAGCTCTGGAGCTAGACTTCCTGAGTACAGATCCTGAATTTAAACTCTACCATTTTCCAGGTGCTTGGGTGGCTCAATCAGGCATCTGATTCTTGATTTTGACTCACGTCATGATCTCACAGTTCCTTAGTTCGAGCCTTGCTGTCAGGCTCTGCGCTGATAGCTTGGAGCCTGCTTGGGACTCTCTCTCTCTCTCTCTCTCTCTCTCTCTCTCTCTCACTCTCTCACTGCCTCTCCCCCACTTGCACTCTCTCTGTCTCTCTCTCTCTCTCAAAATAAATAAAATTTAAAATAAACTCTACCATTTTCTAGCTGTGTGGCTGCAGGCACAAATTGTTTATTCTCTTTGCCCTAATTCTCTCTTCTGAGAAATGGAGATAATAGCGCTTATATCATAAGTTGTGAGGATTAAATATGTTAATACATGTGAAATGCTTACACCAGTGCCTAGCACATACTTAGCACTCAATTATTGTCTGTTATTAGCATTGTTTCTTCCAGGCGTGGAACAGCAGGTAACTGGTAAGTTTTGTTGAGGATCTCTTGAGGAAGAGTCCAGTGGAGTTTATGCTGAACCATGGGTAAATCATAGAGAAAAGATTTATTTTAGGAGTAAGATCCAGGATCTACTTTATAATGAATATATGTATATGTAATTCTGTTTGTGATAGGAAGGAAGCCTATGTATGTATTTGCTTTACAAATATTTATGGAGCACATGCCAAGTGTAAGGCAGTCTACTATACCACACAATCCAAGGTAAAAAAGGCTAAACGCCATAAAAATGTATAGGTGAATGGCATGGCAAGAAAATATTACTGGGCAGTAATAAAAGAATAAATCACAGATAAATGCAACAAGATAGATGAATCTCAAAAATGTATTGAGTGAAAGAAGTGAGGCATATAGAATATACACTGTATAATTCCATTTATAAGAATTTCAAAGACAGAACAAATTTATGGTTAAATTAATAAATTTCTGGTTTATAGAAATCTGAGCAATGGTTGCCTCTGGGAGAAGTCATTGACTTGGAAGGAACTTTCTGGAGTGATGTTAACATTTATAACTTGATTGGGATGGTGGTTAGATAAATGTTCACATTTACAAAAACTCATTTTTAAGATCTGTGCATTTCACCATACATACATTTCACTGCAATAAAACAAAATGATATGGGTGTTCAGGGGATGGAATATTTACTGCCAACTGGGGTGATCATAAAACCCATAATTACAAAATGACAGCATTATAACATATGTGGTAAATACTAAAATATGTATGCTATGGGGAAAGTTTAGCTGGTACTAAGAGGAAAGCTGTAAAAATTGTGTTTGGCTCTTTAAAAAAATACACATAATAATTTATAGAACTGATTACATATTTGCCTAAATATGTAGCATAAAAACAATGACATGTCATTAAGTATATGAGCTTAATTTTGTGGACTATTCTAGCTTGATTATATACTAAATTCCCCCTTATGATTACTGTTTTCAGACCGTTGCTCATGTATCCAGTCATTTGATCCTCCTAATTAGCACCAACATTAGTCTTGACTACAATAATGACCATGGGAATCCATGAGAAATTTCTAAAGATTTTGTTAGACCTTGGTGAGCATGAGAATTGAATTGGAAATGACTTTAGCTTTTAGCAGAACTGCTCTCTGGTCTTCTGCATTTACTGTCAGGTCTCACCTTCTGCCTCTGCTTACAAATTGGTCTGGCTAAAAGGAGACCCCCTAAGTATCCTGACCCTAAGCGTCTCCACTACCATTCTCCTGTAGCTTGGCTAAAACTTGAACTCTTCATCATCCTTTTGCTCACAAAACCATCTTCTCCTTCCTCCCCAGTTACCTCTTTTTTTTTTTTCTTTTTGTAAAGTAGGCTTCATGCCCAGCAGGGAGCCCAAACAACCTTGAGATCAAGACCTGAACTGAGATCAGGGGTCAGATGCTTAACCCACTGAGTCGCCCAGGTGTTCCCCCAATTACCTCATTTTGGTTTTTTGACCAGTACCTGAGAAAAGCACAATAGTTCAAAGATAGAGCTTTTCAGGAAACTCCAATTAGGAAACAAGAACTAGCAAAACAGCATAGGAATCAGAAGAACAGGATAGTGTTGATGGGAATGTTGAGGAAGTGGTGATTCTATTGAAGTTAAAAGAGGAACCCATAGAAGGGGTGCCTGGCTGGCTCAGTCAGAGCATGCAACTCTTGATCTCAGGGGGTCATGAGCTCAAGCCCCACGTTGGGGATAGCGATTACTTAAAAATAAAGAAACTTCCAGGGTGCCTGGGTGGCTCAGTCAGTTGGGCCTCCAACTTCAGCTTAGGTCATGATCTCACAGTTCATGAGTTCAAGCCCCACATCAGGCTCTGTTGACAGTGAGGAGCCTGAAGCCTGCTTCCAGTTCTGTATCTCCCTCTGTCTGCCCCTCCCGTGCTCATGTTCTGTCTCTGTCTCTGTCTCTCTCTCCCAAAAGTAAATAAACATTAAAAAAAAATTTTTTAAATAAACTTAAAGTAAATAGTATTATGAGTAATTGTGAGCTAACATTTAAAAATCTAGATGGAATGGTTAAATTACTAGAGAAATATTTTTTAAATGCCAAAAGTTAGGAGTGCCTGGTTGGCTTGGTAGAGCATGTGACTCTTGATCTCAGGGTTGTAGGTTCGAGCCCCGTGTTGGGTATAGAGATTCCTTTAAAAAAAAAAAAAAAGAAAGGAACCCACAGAACTTGGAGAAATTGAATAGAAGGAATTAAAATTTTCTAACCAGGAATAGAAAGTTCCGTATCCAATATAAACTTGACTACGGCCATAATTCTGAAATAAAGGCATTGTCCTATTTTAATATTAAAGAGGTCAAGGAAACACAGTGGCTTTTTTTAGTTTTCTAATACTATATAACAAATTATCTCAAACTCAGCACCTTAAAAAAGCAATAGTTTCTGAGGATCTGGTATTCCAAGGCAGCTGAGCTAGTGGTTCTGAGTCTCATAAGGTTGCAATCCAGATGTCAGCCAGGTTTGCAGTCATCCGAAGGAAGACCAGTCTCCAAGATGGCTGACTCATATGGCTGGTAAGTTGGTATTGGCAGCTGAAGAAGCAGACACAAGAAAAGCTCTCTGTCCTCCTATTTACCTAAAAGCAGGGCATAAATTTGCATAGGTGTCCTTCCTCCCCTGTCTACCAGGAAGGACAAAGGTTATTCTCAGGAGACAACGTTAGCCTCTTATCAGCAGAGAAAGCCCTGATTAAATCTACCTAACAAGCCTTACCCTGTTTGCTTGCTTTTCCTGGTAACCTTCCGTCACTAGCCTCTTCCCCTCACACACACCTGTCTTCTTTGTCTTCAGTTGAAGATGATATTTAAGCTATTTTCATTTTTAAAAAAA